AAAAAAAAAAAAAAAAAGCACTGGAGACCAAAAGAGTCAAAAAAAAAAATAAGGAGCATTGGAGATTTCAGAGTTTGGAGTTTTTTTTTTTGATTTAGTAATGTTTGCATAAATTGCCAATGAAGCACCAATATTCTGAAAAACATGAAATCTGAAATATTTCAAAATCCCCAAATTTTGGAGCACTATGTCAATGTTTGAAAAGTTTCAGATTTTAGATTTTAGGATTTAGAATACTCAGCCTGAACATCTATGGCTTAGTATTGCTACATGCAATGCAGGGAGGTCACAGAACTTTGCTTGGTGCCTGCATAGTATGTGGAAGCAGACCTCCAGCTTGTGCGGATCCCTCATGAGACTTACCTTAGAGCCATCCCTTCCTGGTGCGCCTGGTGGACCCTACAATATACAAGGATCTTGTTTAACAGAAGGAAAAGGCATAGGATGCAAAATTTTCCCCATAACTGTAAGTGGATCTCTGATAAGATACTGACCACGGGGCCCCTCCGGCCTTGCTTAATGTGGGACAGATCAGGAGATGGTCCCATGGGTCCCATTGAGCCCCGTGGGCCCGGCTGCCCAGGAGGACCTGGCATGCCAGGGAAGCCTGGGCTCCCCTTTGGTCCTGGTGAGCCTGTAATCAAAGAACAGCTCATTAGCTCACAGTCTGTGGTAAGCAAGGGGCCCTGGCAGATGACCATGTGCAGGAGATTACGTGGTCACTTCTCTTTGCACTGTCCTCCTACCTTCTTGTTTTTTTTTTCAAACTTGAAATATTTTAATACCTGCAGAAGTAGCAAATAGGAAATAACAAAGAGCATAATTCAAAAGGCAAGAGAAGTTGCAGTATACTCCTGGATGAACAATAAAGAGCTCTAAATATGATAGTTATGCAGGACTATATAAAAGATATATTAGATGAACCCTTATTTAAAGGTCATTGCAGATTTCTGTGAAACAGTACCAATCTTATGTTGGGTTATACACATATGTTTTTATATATGTGTGTGTATGTGTGTATAAAAGACATGGAAGAAGTAATACAAAGTCAACAGAAAATGGAAATACACTTTTAAAAGTTTCTAATACTAGGAGAAGATATCATACAATGTCTTTTAAATAAATTGTAAGTCAAACATAGAGTATAAATCTTAGAACAAAAATTAAGATTACGTACTATTGAGAAAATTAAATACTAATTAATTAAAATTAAATGTTTCAAAACAATTGAACTAAGAAAAAGTTTTCATGATAGCAAAGAAGTACTAAGAGTAAAGCACAAGATAAACACTGGAATGGCAAGTAAATGACCAGCACTTCTAACAGTTTGAGGATAGGATATTGCACAAAGTTCTAGTGTGTTGTGGACATGCATAATGACCGTGACAGTTACTGGTGACTAGGCATCACTTGTGGAACTGAGCTACAGCTATTTCTTTGAAATGCACCCTGTAGACTCAGGTGGAATCATGACCCATAGGGTGGAAGAGAAGTCCATTTGTAGAGTGTGCTGAAGGAAATATTTTGCTGCTGAACACAAAAGAATAACTGAAAGACTACTGTTGTATACCTCTTATTCTCCTGTGTTTAATTGTTTGCCCTATTTGGTGGGCTCTTTCCATTCTCATTCATGGGCCTGTGATCAATTTGCTCCCTCTCTAGAACATCATTTAGTAGTCTGTGTAGGCTTGGCTTTGTCATCATGAAATTCTTTAGTTGTTCTTTGTCATGGAAGTATTTCACTTCTCCATTATACTTGAAAGAGAGTTTTGCAGGATATATCAGTCAGGGTTGGAATTTGTTTTCTTGCAAGACTTGAAGTATTTTGATCCATGCTCTTCTTGACTTGATGGTTTGTAAAGAGAAATCTGCTGTTATTCTGATGAGTTTTCCTTTAAATGTGATCTGTATCTTTTCTTTAGCAGATTTTAGTATACTGTTCCTATGCTGAATTTCTGGAATCTTGATTATTATATGTCTGGGTGTGGTTTTCATTGGGTTGATACTATTTGGAGTTCTATATGCTTTGGTTGCATGAATGTCAGATTGTTGTCCCATATTTGGGAAGTTTTCTGCTATTACTTCTGCCCATATTCTTTTTATATCATTTGTATTGACTCCTTCCTTCTCATTGATGCCTATTAGTCTCACATTGTTCATCTTTGCATCATCTTGCAGGTATTGAATTATTTTTTCCTGCATCCTAGTTGTTTTAAAGAGATCTTTTCTTACTTTTTCACTAGCTTTAATGGTGTCTTTAAGGTCAGAAAGTCTATTTTCACTTTCACTCAAATGGTTTTGCCAGCTTGTGATTGAGGTTTTAATTTCCTGTATATCACTTTGAACCTGTTTCATACGTTCTATATCTTTCCCAAATTGCTTATTCAAGGATTCCATCATTTTTATATTCTGTTCTATTTTTTTATCAGTGTATTCTTTAGAAGCACTTAGTACTTCTTTGATTATAATTATCAGTAAATTTTTTAATTCCAAAATTATTTCTGATCTGATTTCTTCTATACCTTTCTGCAGTTGTTTCTTTACTGCCAATGCTATTATTTCAGAGATATCTTGCGTGTGATTTCCAGTTTCCTCTATGCTAGTGTCTTCTGCAATTGTACTGGGTGGACTCAGGGCCTAAGACTGCATTTTGTTCCTTTTCTTTGTCATTTTATATACCATTGTCTTCTGACCTTTGGTGTAGAGCTTAGATAGAGTTATTAGCACCAGGTCTGGATCTACAAAGTTCAGATTCCTCCAGGTGGGTGTTGCTTGGATCTGGCTGCTGTGCTCCACTTCTTTCTGCTGCAGCTGTTAGAGTTGAACCCTTTGTGTCTCTCTGGCAGGATGTTTTGCTCCTGAACCAGCTGGGTGGGTCTTGCCTCTAGCCTCTTTGTAGGGAGTTCTGCTGAAGGGTTCTGTACTGGGCCTGCACACTGGGTTGAATGAGAATCCGTGGGCCCCAGGCGGTCTCACTTACATGCTGGGCCTGGGCTCTGGGTCTATTCAGGATCCGTGGGCTTCAGATGGCCGAGCCTGCGCTCCTGGCCTATTCCGGATCCAGTGGGCCCTGGGTCATCTCACTCACTCACTGGGCCTGGGCTCTGGGTCTACCCCCGCTACCTTCTGATACCACCACAAAAGTGTCCCATGGGAATTTTAAATGTAACCTAATCAAAGTGACTTCCCCATCTTCCTCTCTCTTTAAGGACTGCTAGTCATAAAAGAAACTTGAGAATTTGCCAATATTTTCCTATTTCCACAACCTCCTTACCCAACCAGTGACCAGACCTATCCCAATGCTACTTATAACTGTCTGTGCCTCTATGTCTTCCATCACAGCAGTATACTATCATATGTGAGTAGTAACAATCACATTGGGATAATGGTTAAGAGTGCAAGTTTTAGTGTCAGAGAAACCTAGATCTGAATCTCTAACAAATTGCTTGTACCCACTGAACCTTAATTTCTCATCTCTATGCCTGTGCTAATAAAAAACCTCTTTATATAATGGCTGTAATGACTGAGATTTTAGACACACACACACACACAGCACTTAGCATAGGGCCACATATAGGAAGCACTAAGAATACACATTAGGTCTTTGCCTTTCTTTTGCTTGATGCAACTCTTTCTTCACAGTTAGTGTCCCTCTACTTTCCACCAATCTTCTCTACTCCTCACCCATTCCTTTACATTTCTATACTAGTATTATTTCTAAAATAAGTCTTACTGTGTAATTTTCCTAACTGCAACCCTTTTGGTACAAAAGTCTCAAGCCACTGAAGTGGGGTAGCAAACTCTCTGTCCTACAGCCCTTCACAGATACCCACAGTAAGAGGAGAAATGTCCTGCTCAAGATTTGCGACAGACTCAAGGCCTGTTGCAGGTGAGTGTGGGTGAGAAGATCACACTGCAGGGTTCACATGCACAGTTCAACCTCAGCTGTAGTGGGAGAGGTGAAAATGTTCTCTGTTATCACAATTCCAGCATGAAGCAATACTTGAAGTCTACCACTGGGAAAGGGCAAGAGCGTAGAGAGAGGTTAAGTGCTATTGAAAACAGAGTAGAGTGCAGACACCCAGAAAACCCCATTGGTATTCTTGCACCCACTAAGCACAAGGCCACAACATGCTACCACTGGAGGAATCTGAAAATCTATACTGCAAAATACACCCCAATAAAAGATGAGGTCACCCATTTCAAGGACTAATTAACTGATTACTATGTACTCTGCTGTTCCCCTACAAATGATGTGCAGCATCCAATAAAATATTTTGAGCCACATGAAAAAAGCAAAAGCAAAACAAACCACTGTTAAATGATAGAACAGTTAGCAAAAACAGACTCAAGAGATGACTTGGGTCCTGGAGTTATCCAATGGGGATATCTTTAAAAAATGTATTTGGCACAGGACCTATAGGGTCTCATTACCCACATCAGACTAATAGTGATTCTCCTGTTTTCAGTCTTCCAAGTGCTAGGATTATAGGCACACACCACCATGCCCAGTCTCAATTTCAGTGTGCCATGGGGGTGGGGCCGGTACAGTACACCAGGGATTGAACCCTGGTCCCTGTGCTTTAGTCTTCTGAACTATCTGGCTAGGACCCATCAGATATTTTATTTTATTTTTTTCCTTTAGAATTATTTTATTGAATCATAAATGTACAGCAGCTTCTTAACTCTACACACGCACTTAAATTTTTTAAAGGAAAAATGTTATGTCCTATTACACCATGATCTTGGCTAATAGCTTTTCAAAACTTTGAGAAAAATCTTAAGAAAGGTTTCACATGTTACCTGAAACTTACAAATTTAACATTATCAAAGAAGGAATGCTTCTACACTCTTACAAAGACCACTAGAAAGAAATAACAATTACAAAGTTAAGAAACTGTCTCAAGGGCATTTTTACAACCCTTCCTCCACAGTAAAGTAATGTTATTAAATAGTCCAATCCATTCACACAATGGTTCTCTGCATCTGCTGTGGTGTCTTCTGCCATATCACTGCATATTCATGCATGACTGAGATAAGAGTTTCCTTAATATTGTTATTTTGATAACCTGAATATGTTCTGTTACCTTGGGCTCTCATCCTCTCCTATTTATACAGTGAAGCCCATGGCAAATAGGAAGAAGCTCAGTATCGGCTCCTTCCACCATAACCCCACTTCCTCCACTGCCTCCTGGATCATAATTTCTTCCACCATATGGTCCCCCCATGCTCCTGCTACCACCAACATTTCCACTTTTCATTGGACCATAGTTAGAAGGTTGCTGGTTATAATTTCCAAAATCATTGTAATTTCCACTTCCACAGTTTCCTCCATAATTGTCATAACCGCCTCCATAGCCCCCATCCTGGTTTCCATATCCATGTCCTCCACCACCATAGCCTCCTCTTCCTCCTCCATAACCAGGGCTACCTCCAAAATTGCCACCTCCAGGTCCTCCTCCATACCCATTATAGCCATCACCAAATGCACGCCCACTTCCATATCCATCAGCTCCTCCTCTAAAGTTACTTCCTGGTCCTGGTCCAAAATTTCCTCTGCCACCACGTGAATCCCCAAAACCAAAGCTCCCTCCTCTTCTGCTCCTTGAACTTTGCACTTCCTGCCTTTCTTGTCTAGACAAGGCCTATTTACTTCTGCATTGTGACCATTAATGCTGTGGTATTTTTGCAACACAATTTTATCCACAGGATCATGGTCATCAAAAGTAACAAAGCCAAAGCCTCTTTTCTTTTTCCCCAGACTGCCTGTCAGTAATTATCTCAATGGTATCAATTTTTCCATATTTTTCAAAGTAATCTCTAAGGTGGTGCTCCTCAGTATCTTCTTTAATTCCACCAACAAACAGTTTCTTCACAGTCACATGAGCCCCTTGTTTGCCAGACTCTTCTCTTGCTACAGCACGTTTTGGTTCAGTCACTCTCCCATCAATTGAATGAGGTCTTGCAGCCATGGCAGTGTCAACCTCAGCCATGGGTGAGAAAGTTACAAAACCAAATCCTCTTGATCGTTTGCTTGCAGGATCCCTCATAATCACACAGTCTGTCAGTTTTCCCCATTGTTCATAGTAGTTCCTCAGACTTTCTTCTGTGGTTTCAAAACTTAAGAGCTTAGGAAACTTTTCCTCTTCTCTCTCCATCGTGGACTCAGTCGCTTCAGCCTGATTTCCCGCAGCTGAGCGAGATGAGAGAGATCTCTGCGGACGAACACGAACCGAGAAACACCCCATGCCACCCAGCACTGCCACTACTGCCACTAGCTAAAAATCTCCCCCCCGCTCCCGGAATCAGGGATTGAACTCGGGCCCTTGCGTTTGCCAGGAAAGTGCTTATTCTACTGAGTCATCTCCCCAGCCCCAGATATTTTAAAATAACAATAATTATTATGATAAACATGCTAGTGGAAAAGGATAGATGGCTCACTGCAATAGATGGAAAATTTCAGCAGAGAGATGGAAATTAGAGGGAAAAAGTCAAATGGACATAAATGCAGTATTTAGAGATAAAATTTTTTTTATAGGATTATCACCAGATTGGTCAAAGTCGATGAAAATATCAATAAACTTAAAAGCTGCATAAACAGAAATTCTTCAAAACTGTTAGTGGGTTGGTATATGTCCCCCAAAAGGCTCATAGTGTTTAAGGGTTGGTTGCTGGTGAGCTTTTGGGAAGTGATTGAATCATGAAAGCTTTAATTTTATCAAAGCGGATTATTCTACTGATGAAATCATATTCCTTAAAACAATAAGTTTTGAGGCAGTTGGCCTTTCCCTCAACACCCAATCATAGATTATGTCATGACTGTGAGGTACAAAATTTTATATCTCCCCAAGAACATACATTACTATTGAGTGACAACAGTGTCCTGTGGAGAACTTCAAATTAGTTGTTCAGATTACCAGATATAAACATCTAAGATTCATTTAAAGAAAAAAAAAACAATAACAAAGAAGTTATAAGACATTCAAAAGAGGAAGAAAAAAATCAGAGTAAAAAAATCAAGCAATTACTGTTCCTTTCAAAAGACCAGCACAAATAAACAGTACAATTACCCAAACTATTCAGCATATATACCTAAATATATATTTCCCTTCTTTCATTTGTCCTTTTCCTCATCCTACTTTTTCCTTCTCATTGAACAACTTCCTTCCCTTTCACAGTAATTGTTGTATCTAATCAGTCCTACATGGGTGCTCTAACCTGTGACTGATCACAGTCCTTAGAATGAGCTTTTACTTAAAGGTGAGAAAAATGTATTAGCTTTCTAGGTGCTTTGTTGCATCTCGATGGAGCACATCAAAGACACTAGAAGTAGAAAATAAGAATGTCTCTACGTAAGGAACTAGATCATTCTGAAAGATTTCTGTTCCATGAAGGACTGTGGGCAGCTCCATTGCACATTAGAAGCTAGATGGTAGAGCTGGAGAGGAGAGCTAATAAGTCATTTATTTAAAGCCAGTCAACAGCTCCCCTGCTCCTGCAGCTGTCCTTGGTCAGACAGGCCAACTGGCCTGGTGATGAACTTCTTCCAGGGAAGTAAAACAAGAGCATTCTGTTATAGAAGGGTGAAGAACACTGCACTGGGAATCTGTGTAAGGAGAGACCACAGACTTCTTAGAAGCAGCAAGAGTCTGCCTGTGTGAGGCAACTGTGGAGAAAACTCAGCCACAACCCAGAGAACCGCAAGGCAAAGGAGTGAACAAGAGAACAAGCCCAGGTCTTGGGCCACTTCTCTGTTCAGACTGAGACCCAGGGCACCTATGTTGGATGGAGAGTAAGTGTTGAAGACACACAAATCCTTCAGGAAAGGCTCTGAGGCTTGATTCTTTTTTTTTTTTTAATGAATTTAGGGCAGGGTTTACAGAGTATACTGGGTCTCACTTTGTAAATCAGACTTGTGGTGATTCTCCTGTTTTCAGCCTCCCAAAGCCTGGGGTTACAGGTGTGTGCTACAAGGCCCAGTCTCAACCATCATCTCAGCACACCCGGAGGCAGGGCTTGGATGGCAGGCTAGGGATCAAACCCTGGCCACACCATTCTGCCAAAGCAGGTGCTTTAGTCCGCTGAGCTATCTGGCCAGCCCTTGAAGCTTGATTCTTACTGAATGTCTAGCCTAAGACTTAACCATGCCCTTTCTGCTTGGATGGATTCTACCAATTGTTTATGGACAGATAAAGCCCCAAATCCCTGGTCGCTGCAGGTTACAGCAACTTCTAGTTTCTTTCTTTCTTTTTTTAAACGTTTCAGTCATTTAATTAGGTTCTTAATAAGAAACTTAGAACACTAATTTATGAGGATAAATTCCATTTGTCAGAGCAAAAACAGATCTCAGGTATCCCCAGAGCTGAGGAACAGCTTTGATTTTTGCTAAAATCTGTGAGTCCACCGCTTTCTGATCCACCTTGCGCTGCTCTGAAATCTGGCATCTCTCTTTCTCAGTGTTGAAGATCTCGCCTTCCTGGTGTCTGGGTTTCTGCAGCCTCTTCTTTTTGAAATAAGCATCAGTGAGGTGTTTGGGGATTTTCACTTTCCTGATGTCAATTTTTGTAGAGGTGGCAATGACAAATTTCTGGTGTGTTCTTCATAGAGGAAAACAATTAAGGCTAAGAGGCCCAGTCACAGGAAATTTATAACACTAATTTGTGAGGATAAATTCTGTTTGGCAGAGCAAAAATAGATTGCAGGTAGCCCCATAGCTGAGGAACAAGCCACTGGCCAGCTGCTTCAGGAAGACCACTCTCTTGCCTCTGTGACGCCCAGTGAGGATGATCAAGATGTTGCCGCGAGTGATGCCAGCTGGAAGTTTCCTCACATGCTGAGTGAAGGGTTTCTTGTGGCTCAAGAACTTTCGGGGCACATCTTCAGTAGGGTAGTATCTAGGCAGTTTTTGAAGTTTAACCACCCAGCTACCTCCATTCTTGTCCACACCAACTGGTTTTGTGATCGAAGCAAGAACTTTCTCCTTTTTATTCTCAACCTTTGATTTAGCAGCTGTGTACTTTCTCTCGTACAAAGCCTTGCTGGAATACATGGTAGATCAGGAGTATCTACCAATTCCTCTAACCAGGACAGGATTTTGTCTGCAGTGAGGCTGCTCCTTCTTGGACTTTTGGTTTTTTTTTTTTTTTTGCCTTCACCTTACTCTTTTTATCAATACCACTAGCAGAAGCCTTCTGGTCTTTGGGTTTCTTCTCTTTAGTGTCTGGCTTTTCATTTTTTTGCCTGCTATCTTGCAAGATGGGAAAGAGTGCAACTTCTAGTTTCTTTCAGCTCCCACAGCAGGAAGTATCTGCACGCTTGTTTAGGAGCATGTGAAAACTCTTGCACTCTATTTGCATTCACTGCCTGTCTCTTGTCTATTTAGAATGCATGTACATTGTTCCAAACACTTAGCACACTGCTAAGCAATGATAACTAGTGGTCACAGAAACAGTGATTTAAAATCACTTGTTGACACTAATGTCATTGCCTTTACTGATATTAAAAAAGCCATTGATTGATGGAGGAGCTCATGATACAATAGAAAATTCTGTAACTTTTTGTGAAGTTGTCACTGCATTTTTATTTTTTGTATTTTTTTTTAGTAGTGGGTCTACAGGGTCTACAGGATCTCATTCATAGATTGGACTCATAATTTGCTTGTGTTCAGCCTCTCAAGAGCTAAACACACTCAGTCTCTCTCTCACTGTATTTTTAAATGAAATGATTAGTCTCAAGACACTGGGGATATAGTTTGGTGTGAAGGCTTTAGATTCAACTTCCAATATTGCAAAAATCAAACTTTATTTTTCAAATTAAAAAGGCAGAACCTCTAAAACTATATACTAAATTGAAGAAGCCTGATAAAAAGAACACAAGCTAAAATTTTTCACTGATGTGTAATCCTAGAACAGGCAAAGCTATGGTAGAGAAAAGCAGATTGGTAGTACCTGGAGCTGGGGAGGGGAGTACACTGACTGCAAATGGGTGGAAGGGAATTTCTCTGGAGTGATGGAATGTCTATATCTTAATGCAAGGTGTTGGCTACAAAGTTGTATAGATTTGTTAAATTCAATGATGAGTTAAAATGGGTACATCTTAAATTATAGCTCAAAAATCGACATAAAGAAAACTGTAGATAGATGTAACAATAAAGACAAAAGGGTGGATGGAAAGAACTGGGGAGCAGTGGACATGAAGTGGGCCATGAATTGGTAGAGCTCAGTGATTATTCCATTTATTTTGGTATATATTCAATTTTTTCCACCATGCAGATAGAAAGCAGCTTGGTGATTCCATCTTAAAATGATATTCAAGAATCATACCTAATCCCAAGACGATCATCTTTTCCTCCCAAATTAGTACCAGTTGTAAGGGATTCATTCTCAGGCTGAGAAGCCCATCTTCCTGAGGCCCTCAGTACACACAGAGGAGGCAGCTCTCAGAACATGTGCTGTGCTTCTCATGATGGAAAGTGGAGAACCCCACTGGTCCCCACAGCCCAGGTCTCTTGTGACTATCCTGGTGGTTCTCCTGAGCCCCTCTCCACACTCACCAGGGGGACCCTGGCCCCCAGGTAGGCCAGGAGGTCCTGGAAGATAGGTGTTTGAGGCCAGCACTTTGTTGCCAGTGATGTACTTGCCCAGTTCTGCAGCATTGTTGGGAAGCAAAGCAATCTGCAAAGAAAAGGGAGACCTTAGTCGGAAAGCAAAGGTCGCACGGTAAGGGAGGCTGTCTACAAAGGCTGCAAGACATTTTTGTGACTTTTCTTTTTAAGCACAGCTAGTTAGAGACCAAGGGAGCAGAGATCCTCTTCCTAGGCTTGGGTGCCTTCCAAGGAAAACAATGTATTTGAGTTCCCTTACCTAGCTTGCCTACGCATCATTAGGACACATCGCCATAATTAATCCAATCCATGTGTTTCATACTTTTAATCTGTTAATCAACTACTGTATGTCTCAATCTTTTATCACTTACCTATTATGTGCCATGCTGTGTCTGGTTAGGTGGCCCCAATGGTGATCAAGACATGGTTAAAGAGCACTCAGCCCTGGGAGCCAGGACCAAGAATGTAGTTGCCAGTCTTCATGCAGAAGTGACTGTGGTGGTTTGAAACATGTCCATAAGTTCTATGACACTTTTACAAAAGTAGAGGCTAATTTCCCATGTTAAGTGTGGACTGGACTTAGCAAGCAGTTTCTTTTTTTTTTTCTTCCATAATTTTATTGAGAAATAAATAGCAATGAAACAGTTTCAAATCAAATTGGTAAGACAGTTTCAATAATTAACACATTGCATACTGTCTTCCTAGTGGTTATTTGTTGTGCAAGATGCAGACATGATATCTTATTTACAATCACTATTAGAACAAATCCCTCTATTCAATTAATTAAGAGAATGTAACTATATATCTCTCCTAACCATTTTGAATACACAGATACAAAATGGTCATTCATCTGTATCCCCTTTTTTTGTTTAGTTCCATCATTTAAATATTATAGGTGTGTGAACTCAGCAAAATATTCCAAAATAGTCCAGTAGTCCATAATAGTATTGGGTCTTCCACTTGACTGGCAATGTCAGAAATTGTTGACCTGAGTGCCCTACAGCTCAACATAACAACATGGCTTTACTTCTTATACTTGGTTTTTATACTTTTCTGCTGGAAGGTTAAGACCAAGATAAAGCAAGACCTATGCAACAAGAATTGTAGCTTTTGGGTCTGATAAGGTCAGTCAAATCCTTTCAGGATTTATCCTGTAACTCTGTACCTCAGTTTGCAGATCCTTGTCAGTGTCAGCCATGTGGATGAGTCACGGCCATTGCTTCACCAATTTGCACTCTGTGAAAGCCTAAGAGAATGTTTTCTCTCCATGTGACTCTCCTTAGGCACACTCTACATCATCGATCACTTTCCTCTTTGGCCCCATAATTTCCTTGATCAGAAAATTTGGGACACAACTGAGTTACGTGTCATTATAGTACAAGTTCTCATATGTCCTGAGTCTTCATTGACCTTGGAAGGCTAGAGCCAAAATGTTGACTTTCCTTGGTCCCTCCTTTTTCTCTAATTTTTGGTCTACAAACTTAGGTTGTTAACCCTCCGGAAGACAAGCTTATTGTTATTACCATACAACCTACACTGTTAAGCATAACCTCACTATCTGTCTGAATATCAAACACCTTAGGCATAACATGGAACAGGTATTTTTCATCAAGTATTGATATGTTAAACTTTAAGTCCCTACAGAATATGATGAAAAAAATTTAAAAAATTAAAATATATTTAAAAAATAGGAATAAAGAATTATATATGCTTACACATAGGTCCAGAAATCTAACCATATACCACATTGCAGCAGGACAATACCGTACCATGCCTTTTCCTGTCTCCTGCCTTCATTCACCACCCCCTTCCTTTTTAAACAATCATCTACCCAAGAGATAGCATGGCAGCAACTGGAATGTCATGAGAAGCAGCACATATTCAGAAGACCAGAATGACAGGCACTCCAAGCATGAATGTACTATTACAAATTGCCATCTTCAGTGCAGTTGCTTAGTTCACAGGTGTCAGTATATATAGTTAGTCAGGGTGAGAATCCTTGCAATTAATTGCTAGATTTCAAAATCTTCTGAAGATTCTCAGGATCATTGCCTTACCAATCTAGTACATATAACTGTATGGCTTGCCCTTGTCATGTTTCCTATCTCTTCTCCTTACTCTCTCTTCTTTGTCTAGTCCTTAAGTTCTTGCTTTCCTTTTAGTTGTATTATATCTTTCTATTTGTATTTCTTCTTTGAGTTCTTATACTAGGGAGATTGTACAATATTTACACCTGTGTGTCTGGTTTATTTTACTTTTGAGTATATCTTCAAGTGGCATCCACTTAAATATAAAGGCATAAAGTTTATCATTCTTTATAGCTGAGTAATACTCCATTGTATAAAAATACCACATCTTTTTTATCCATTCCTTAGGTGATGGGCATCTTGGTTGTTTCCAAGATTTGGCTATCACAAATTGTAGCAAGCAGTTTCTAATGAAGTGAGTATGGTAGAGGGGACCAGGAAGCTTCTGAAATGAGGGCTAAAGAGCACTGAAGCTTCTGCCTTTCTCACTCTCTTGGACCACTCATTTTAGGGAAGGCAGAAGACTGCAGGAGTAAATGAGCTTCACATTCCCTGAGGTCAGATTAACTGTATGAACACTCAATGGCTGAGCCCTAATTTTCTCACTGGTGAAAGGGAAAAGTAAAACCTTCATCTTGGATCATGTGGTTTGGGGGGGGTGTAGTGATTGATACATTGTAACAACTTGAGAAGTCTTCCTGTGCAAGAGCAGGCCATGGACATTGTGTGAGTTCTATGCCCCCACTCCAGGGTAGTCTGTTTATAAGGAAAGGAGAGGGGCAGCAGCTGCTGCTTCTCCCTTTACTCTTACATGTTTTCTGCTGCCATGAACTGATGCCCTCTCCCTTATGCCACTCTGCCTCACAGCCAGCTGAGTATGGACTGAAAACTCCACAAACTGTGAGCTAAATAAACCTTTCCTTCCTTAATTTTAGGTGTTGGGTATTTTGCCCCAGCAACAAGAGAATGGTAACAGACAGAATTTGGTACCAGAGAAGTGGGGTTGTTGCTGTGACTATAAACCTGACCATGTGGATTACAAGCTTTTGGGAATGGTTTATGAGAGGAGTTAGCAAAGGTTTGGAGATGTCATTCAAAAGAGAAGCATTAGAATGCCTTTGGCTGTTCTGTATGAAAGATTCTGGTCACAGCTCAGAAGACCAGCATGCCGATAGAAATCCTGCATGTAAAGACCAAGCTGGGGAGGAGATTTCTGCTGGGAAGAAGGACTGTATTGGTTGTTGGACTTCAGATGACATGTGTTATGGCTTGGCAGAAAGTTTATCTGCATTTTTCCCATTTCCAGAGATTGCCATAGACTAAGTGCGGTGGACCGGGTGGACTGGGTAGTTTGGCAAAAGAAAAGTTCAAGGCAGTCGAATGGTGATGCAGTGGCATGACTACTGTTGGGTGCTTTTAGTCAAATTTATGTTTGGAGTCAAAAGCAAAGAGCCCAGAAGGATGATTTAAAATGTGAATTTGGCCAGAAAGGAAGCACCAAGAAGGTCATGGACTGCCAAGACAGAGCTGAGATTTCCATTGCTCAGGAGGAACAGGAGAATAGAAAAGATGTCCCGAGGGAATCACAGTAGGCGGCAGGTCCTTGCCCTTGGAGCCTGACAACTACAAGGGTGAGGGATTTTACTCTGAGGAAAAAGCCGCAGAGCTCTATGTTCCAGAATGGAGGCAGCAACCACACTAAGTTCCAGAATAGCAGTAGCATAGATAATTTGTTCCTCAGAATCAGGGTCAGAGTATTCAGCAATCCAGGCACTTGACCCCTATAGCCAGGAAAGAAAACCTGGCTACTGCTCTGGCTGGCAGTGGACCCTGGCATCACCTATGTGGCATTAGTTTTAGGAGCATGCAGAATACAGGAGTTCTGAGGTTAAGAAGGCTTCCACCTTGATTTTAGAAGTTCTGGGAAGCTAGGCAGTGCTCCCCTGGGTGTGTGGTGTATAAAGCTGTGAGTGACAAGCCTATTCAGAGGAAACCTCAGAAGTTTAGAAAAGCCAGGAATGTGAACTGTCTGAGGAAAGCTGCAAGGAGGAAGCAAAGCCAGTCCCAGAGAAAAGCCATGGGAGCTAACAGTAGAAGTGCATAGGGATGAAGCCATGTGGCACTCACATTTTGTCACAGATTGCCTTGGATGTTGAAAGTGGAATTACAGGACTTAATGGTTTCCCTGTGGGATTTGTGACTTACTTTGGTCCCAGTGCTTTATATCCTGCTATTTGTATCTTTTGGAATGGTAATATTTTTCTTGTGCCATTGAATGTTGGAAGTGTTTCTCAGACTTTTCAGCAATGCTGAAACTGTTAGGACTTTGGCAACTGTTGAAGACAGACTAAATGCCTTTTGCATAAAGGGATATGCACAAGTCTTTGGGGGTCCCAGGGGCAAAATATTCTGGTTCTAATGTAATACAATGTTGACAGACTTAATATTGGTTCTTAAGGATTGTTAAAACTGTGTTATAATGTCCAAGTTGTGAAATATTAGGAATAAGCATGTCTTTGTATCTGAAAACTGGTTTAAAGAAACATGTATGGTTGTCAAATTGACAAGGGATGGATTGTACTGGTTGATACATGGTATTAACTTGAGAAGTTTAGAATTTTAATTAAGTGACTCTGTCCCTTAAGTTTAATTAAGTGATTTTGTCCCTTGGAAGCAAGGAGCCAGGGTTCTTACTTTGTAAACATCCTCCTCCTGTGCAAGAGGAGACCATGGACATTGTGTGTGTGAGTTTTACACCCCCACCTCAGGGTATCCTGCTTATAATATAAGGAAAGGAAAGAGGCAGCAGCTGCTGCTCTTCCATCTGCTCTTCGCTCTTTTCTTCCAACATGAACTGATGTCCTCTGCTTTATGCTGCTCTGCCTTGGGAGACTAGGATACAGCTACTGAACCTCAGCTGTGCTGTACTATGAATGAGTACAAGTAGACCTGGAAAGATCTGCTGACCGGCAAGTTCTCATTAGGCTTCAGAAGGTTCTTGTCTCTGGCACAGAGTCTGGATTGTTTGTAGCATTCTCATACA